GACTCATTACTCCTGTGGGATTGAAATTTGGGAAATTTGTGGCTGCTTCAGCATTCCTGCCATGCTACTGTGGTCAGCCCAGGTCATGTCATCATAGGCACATCCCCAGCCTCTTTCCTGCCTCCCTCTGACCCCTGCGCCCAATCAGCTGGTGGCACGGCCCGATGGGCGAGCACCGATTGGCTGCTTTGGAACAAAAGCCAAAATGGCTGTGGGCGTTGAAGGAAGGAGGGAGCAACTTGGATGCCTGCTGGCGAGATAGGGCTGGCTGGAGGATGCTGGTGGTTGACGGGTGAGCCCTCTTCTTTGAGGTGTTACACATGCTGCTCTCAGGTTCGGCTTATGGTCACTCACTCTCACACTCACAGCCTGTTGAGGCATGAGGATCTTGTCAGCCCCCCGTGCTTTCTACCTGGGTTTTCCAGATAGGTGCGGCTGGAGAAGACAGACACACAGCCCTGGTCAACAGCAGGGAAATGATTAGGGATACACACAAATCACTTCCAACCGAACACTGAGGCACAAAAGGTTCTTTGTAATACACGGAGACCCAGTGAATTTAAAGTAACAGCAAAACTATTGGTTGCAAGGTACATCTCGTACACACACACACACGCTCATCCACACCCACTTCCTTCCCAGGCACTAGCTAGAGGGAGGAAGCCGCCAAGTCTGGATCCAAAGGTGACTCAGATGACTCAGCTCAGACAACTCAGAGGACTCTGAGTGGGCGGGCTTTGGGACCCCTTTTATACCCCAAAGTCCTTGCTCTGTTGATTCACAAGTCTGGCAGTTGTTGATGGGATTGGGGTTTCCATGTGCTCAGGCCCAACTTTTTTTTTCTGGTTCAAGTCCTTTTTTTCCTTAACGACTTGCTTTCTTCTTATCTACCTCCCTGAAGGGATCTCATAGATAAGTTTCCTGGCTTTTGTCCTCTCTGCTTATGTGCCTACTTCATCTTTAGGTTATGGCAGCTTCAGCCTGGTCTCACAGAGGGAGGGGGCTCTTGGGGACACGCCAGAATGGGGAGCAGGGGTGCAGTTTTCCTCATGGTCAACAGCTCCCTTTATTCCACCTCCCCCCACCAAAGTAGCGGGCAGTTCCAGTGGTCAGCTGAGGAGGAAGAGGCAGGTTCACTGGCGCTCTCCTGAGAGCCACGGGGGAGGGTAAATGGTGCAATCCTATATTATATGTGGAGAGGAAGGAAAGAAGGAAGGAGTAAGGGAAGGAAAAGGGAGAGAGGGATCCCCAGCCTCTTTCCTGCCTCCCTCTGGCTCATGCCCAATCATCACTTGGCAAGGCCCAACAGGCAAGCAGCATTTGGCTGCTTTGGAGCCGAGGCCGAAATTTGAAATCTCTTAATGGCAGTTGGCGTTGAGGGAAGGATGAGGGAGTGACCTGGATGCCTGTTGGCGAGGTAGGGCTGGCTGGGGGGTGCTGGCAGTCGACAGGTGAGCCCTCTTCCTCCCTTGAGGGAGAGGGCCCTCGGGGACATGCCAGAGTGGGGTATGTGGGTGCAGCGTTCCTCATGGTCTCTTGAGTTCATGGGGAGGCCATTTATAGATTTTCTGATCCATAGCCCAATTTCTTAGCTATTGAATTATATCTCATTTGAATTATGCCTGCATAGGATAAATTCACATTGAACTGTGTCATACTGGTATGTATTCTTTATGAAAAAAGTGTTTCCTCTTGATAAGACATAGAAACAGAGATGCGCATCTAAAAACTAATCTTGTCAGTATTTACTGATCTAATTTCTACACTAATGCTAAATCCACAGCCTTCAACCAGATGCTTGGTGGCAGCTTTTCTAACATCTCACTTGACTTCAGATTTCTTAATAGGCTAACACTGGCTGCTCTTTAACTTTGACTGTTATCTTCCTGCTCTCAGTCAGCTGGTTCTCACTGGCGTAATTCCTGGCTGACCACCATCTCTTTGTTCCTAGTGAGCTGTGCTCTCTAGGCTATTACAGGTGATTACTTCTCACTCACAAAATGTGTCTCACATCCAGTCTTGGACCTACCTAGCCCTTTGTCTATTCATACTTGGCCCTTTGGGAAAAATCATGCTTGTTCAACTCTTCCTTGATTCTGTTTTGAATCCTTCCTTCCCATTCCTACAAACCTAAGGCTGCTTCTAGATAATCATTGTTGATGGCAAGTATTCATTGGTTATAAAGCACATGTTCCAATAACATATTCCATTAGGAAAGCAGTATATCGCTCATTCCAAAATGGTGCAAGAAGTCTGGAAAGACACAACAGAAAATACTTGCTGATATGTTTCCAGATTATTTATTTGCTGAGCTTGATGCTAGTAACACTAGAAGCAGCAGAAACGAGAGGCAGTACTGGGAAAATTTTATCCACCTCTGGCTTTAGGCCAAGAATCCAAATTAAAACAATATTTAATTATTACAGTTGTTGAAAAAAAATGAAAGAACATCAACAACTTGCCATATAAGAAACATTGTGGAAGGTACTATTTTTTAATCTCTGTATCTGCAGAATGAGATCCAATAGAAGAGAATATATGTAGCTCAGAGTTGAACTGTGGAGTCCTTGGTGCTCTCTGAGCTTGGTGGTTTGCTTGCAGA